GCACTTTCGCAGCATCATCTTTCAGGATTTGAAATAGGTCAACTGGAATTCCATCACCTACACTAGCTTTGTTCGTAGTGTTTTCTAAGGCCCACTTGACTTCACATTCCAGGATGTCTGGCTCTAGTGATTATCTGTGTCGTGAAGATCTTTTTTGTACAGTTCTTCTGTGTATTCTTGCCACCTCTTCTTAATATCTTCTGCTTCTGTTAGGTCCATACCATTTCTGTCCTTTATTGAACCCATCTTTGCATGAAATGTTCCCTTGGTATCTCTAATTTTCTTGAAAAGATCTGTAGTCTTTCCCATTCTATTGTTTTGCTCTATTTCTTTGCATTGATCGCTGAGGAAGGCTTTCTTATTTCTCCTTGCTATTCTTTGGAACTCTGCATTCAGATGGGAATATCTTTCCTTTTCTCCTTTGCTTTTTGCTTCTCTTCTTTTCATAGCTATTTGTAAGGCTTCCTCAGACAGCCATTTTGCTTTTTTGCATTTCTTTTCCATGGGGATGGTCTTGATCCCTGTTCTCTTGTACAATGTCACGAACCTCCATCCATAGTTCATCAGGCACTCTATCAGATCTAGTCCCTTAAATCTATTTCTCACTTCCACTGTATAATCATAAGGGATTATAAACTGGAAGTGGTCAAACAGGAGACGGCAAGAGTGAACGTCAACATTCTAGAAATCAGCGAACTAAAATGGACTGGAATGGGTGAATTTAACTCAGATGACCATTATATCTACTACTGTGGGCAAGAATCCCTTAGAAGAAATGGAGTAGCCATCATGGTCAACAAGAGAGTCTGAAATGCAGTACTTGGATGCAATCTCAAAAACGACAGAATGATCTCTGTTCGTTTCCAAGGCAAACTATTCAATATCACGGTAACCCAAGCCTATGCCCCAACCAGTAATGCTGAAGCTGCAGTTGAACGGTTCTATGAAGACCTACAAGATCTTTTAGAACTAACACCCTAAAAAGATGTCCTTTTCATTATAGGGGACTGGAATGCAAAAGTAGGAAGTCAAGAAACACCTGGAGTAACAGGCAAATTCGGCCTTGGAGTACGGAAAGAAGCAGCGCACAGGCTAATAGAGTTATGCCAAGAGAATGCACTGGTCATAGCAAACACCCTCTTCCAACAACACAAGAGAAGACTCTACACATGGACATCACCAGATGGTCAACACCGAAATCAGATTGATTATATTCTTTGCAGCCAAAGATGGAGAAGCTCTACACAGTCAGCAAAAACAAGACCAGGAGCTGACTGTGGCTCAGATCATGAACTTATTGCCAAATTCAGACTTAAATTGAAGAAAGTAGGGAAAACCACTAGACCATTCAGGTATGACCTAAATCAAACTGTTAGGTACCACATCACAAAAGCACTGGTTTATGGCCGTGTTTAATGTTTAAGTATGTTTCTGTGTCTGCTGCTTTCAACAAGCCCTGAGGCAATGTTTTGACCAAACCTCACACTCAATTAAAGTAGAAATGTAAAGTCGGGATCAAGGGATCAGCATAATAGAATGGTTAAGAGTATGGGTCTGGCTGTCACACCAACCCCCAAACAACAAGCTACTCAGTGACCTTGAACACGTCATTTCACCTATGCCTCAATTTCCTCATCTGCAAAATGCAGATGATGCCTCAATCAGCTATCAGAAGATTTAAACAAGGTGATTCATGTAAAGCACTAAGCCCTGCACCTTGCAGAGAGCAAATAATAATGAGCTAATTGGAAAATTAGCATTATTACTGTCCTCTAACCTCAAGGAAAGCTATGAGTTTCCTGGCAGCCAGGCCTGCATGCATGCTAAGTTGCTTCAGTCCTGTCCAACTCTTCGCAACTCTATGGAGGGTAGTCTGCCAGGCTCCTCTGTCCATAAGATTCTCCAGGCAAGAATACTAGAGTGGGTTGCCATGCCCTCCTCCAGGGAATCTTCTCCAACCACGAATCGAACCTGTGTCTCTTATGTCTCCTGCATTGGCAGGAGGGTTCTTTACCACTAGCACTGAAGGCAGGCAAAAACTTCTAATCATTAGAAAGAAGATTATTTACATACACTACATAACACAAAAAAGTGGTGGTTGTTTTAGTCGCTCAGTCATGTCTGACTCTTTTGCGACCCCATGGACCGTAGCCCACCAGGCTTCTCTGTCCATGGGATTTCCCAAACAAGAATACTGGAGTGGGTTGCCATTTCCTTCTCCATGGGCTCTTCTCGGAAATGTGGGAACTGAACCCACATCTCTTGCATTGGCAGGTGGATTCTTTTCCACTGAGCCACCTGGGAAGCCACTACATAAAGGTAGCTTTTCATTTCTTTCCACATTACAGAAACTTTCCCCTTCCTTAGTAATGAGTAACTGAGACTAATGATGCAGACCTAAATCCAGGAAAGGCTTCAATGCAGACATTTTTAATTAGGAAGGATAATTTTCAATGAGATATGGATTAAGGATCTAACCTGTTAGGGGAATTATAGTTGGTGCTGTTAGGAGAAAGAGGAAAAGAGAGGTAAAAGTCTTCAAACCATCCCACAGAGCATAATTCAAAGGAGGAAACAGTGGCAGGTTGACTGTTCACATTACTTCATAACTGAATCAGAAAATGAAGAAGGAAAAAAAAATCAGGTGAAATATTTTAACTAACACAGAAAAAAGAAATAATGCAGCTATTAGTAAAGTTAAAACAGTCACACTCATTCAAAAAAAAAAAATCAAGGAAAGGAAGGTGAAAAATCAATTATTTTGACAGTTTAAGCAACAAGCACCCACTCTAGCCTTTTAAGATCATGGCTTATATTTCCCATTTGCAACCAACTGTCATTGCCCACTCTTCCAAATAAGCTACTAGCATGAATGCACTTTTAATTCATACTGTCTTCTTAACTGAATATATTATTCTGGTTATAGACAAAAATAAAATCTTGGGCATTATCTTTTTTTTTTTTTTTTTAGAATTTACAGGAAAATATTATCAATTCAATCAATTTAAAGGATACATTTCAAAGAAAGTACTGTGAGAGGTAACTTGGGGAAAGGGAAAAGTTCCTAGTAAAAATAAATCATTCAGAGGAAAACTGTTCAAGGACAATCAAAACCAAATTTCAAAATAATGCAAATCTTGAGATTTTGAGAGATGGGTAGGATTAATGAGTTGCAAGGGGCAGAACTAAATTCTCAAAGAAAGAAAATAAAAGATTCAGAAGTGAAGAGAAGATTTCAGCAGGGAGTACACACCAGTGCTACCAATCTATCAGCAGATATGCAAAAATTCTGAATAATAAAAAAAATAGAATATATTATCTCTATCAATATTGGGACATTTAGCAACAAAAGGAAAATAAAGTATTTCAAAGCCATTTTCAAGCATTTCAAGACATTTTTCTGTACTCCACATTCTACTGCAAAATGAAAAAAGAGACTGGTTAGATGCTCTAATTAACAATTTAGTAGTGAAAGAATAATGCCATCTCCAAAGAAGCTCTGTCACCTAGAGATAATGGACATTTTCTTTTTACTGTTTAAGAATCCAGAAGAATCTCCTTCTGCTTTTAAATGCAAATTACCCCATCTCTGAAGCACATTCTGCTCTATCTGAAAATTACTGCAGTGTGATCCTGTTCCAGAAAGGACAGCATTCAGGGAGGAAAATGGAATTAGGACAACTGCACACCCTATGTTCATATCATCACAGCCATCGAGCTGTCACCACTTACACATGGCCTTTTTCAGTAGAGAGACCACTCTCAGTGATCAAAATTCTATTGGAAGAAGGAAAAGTTAGTTTTGAGGACTATCGGTTCATTAAAAGGTTACATACACATTCTAATACATAAATATGCACCCGCACCATAACAATTTAAAAACTCAGTATCAAAAACTTGGCTGTCAACTAATAAAGCTAGCGACTTCCTGGCAACGTTTTTAAAGTCAGAATTTCAGTGTTAACAGTATGCGTTGCCCTTTCATTACATGGTAAAACAAACAGAAAACACCACTATGCAAGAAAGGTGAGTACAGCACCCTCTGTACTTGTCTTTCCTGGTAAAACTCCCTGGAACAGTGAACAATGACTCTCAGACATACTTCCATTTAACATGCCAGATGATCAAGGTTAAAAAGAACACTTTTAAACCAGAAAGTCTCAAGAAATAGATAAACCATATAGAGGAATTAATCCCATTCTTAAAGATCCAAGCTTTCTGCCAAAACCACACTTGGTTTGGGAAATTTTATTTGTTGTCGGGTAAATGCAAACAAATAGTGAAGAAAGCTAAGCAATATAGAGCCTCATAAAAGGTTAACTTAGCTCTAGTTTTTCCAAGTTACATATTAACAAATAGCGTTAGTTTTAAATAAAAACAACAAAACAACAATAAAACACCTCTTTTCCAGCTAAGGCAAGTCAACCAAATGAGTGATTTTCTTTAGTGATACCTGGCTTACCCCATACCCTATTCTCAAAAGCAGCCCTAATCTCTCCCCACAGGTCACCAGACAACCAGGAACTGAAACAACTGAAAATGCACTTCCAACCTCGTAAATATCAACTGATTGCTCTGGGTTTAGAAAAGCCATTTAAACGTTCTCCAAATGCCTGAGATTAGTACACGGCAACCAAATGGCACAGCATGGCATCAGCGGGTCCCTTTTTTCATCTACCCACTCAGAATCCCGCAATGAATGCAGCAGATCTCTCAAGGCCAGAGTGCAGGGGGTAAGAGTACCATGCGCAGAAAATAGGAAGCCTGCTTTGATAGAGGGGGAAGCAAGCCAGGGCAGTCTTGTTTCAAAGAACCTAGAAGCGTTTACTAGTTCAATCCACCCCCAAATCCATGCCACCCTTTCAACTTTACAATTAAAAGAGAGGAGAAATTCCGGTCAACTCGCCTTGGGGGGTTGGTCTGAGGGTAGAGGACTCAAGCAGGGAGGAGGATGGAGTGAGAAAGAGCAAGCCAATGAAAGGATACCAAAATTTTCCCACCTTTCTTAAATTCTTCCAGCATAGCGTCCAACTTGGTGTCATTGAAAACAAAGTGCAAGGGGTGGTTATAAAATTTCGTGATGGTTTTCAGGGGAGTACAGTCATCTGGATCCACGAAGGCCAAGTCTTTGACGAAGAGGAGGTCCACGATGTTGGAGCGTTCCCCCTCAAATACTGGAATCCGAGTGTAGCCGCTCTCCATGATCTCCGACATGGTGTTGAAGTCCAGAATGGCTTCCCCGGTGATCATGAAACAGTCCCGCAGGGGAGTCATCACGTCCTCCACCGTCTTGGTGCGGAGCTCCAACGCCCCTTGGATGATATTCAGCTCCTCCTTTACGAGATCGTTGTAGGGGTCTGTGACCCGGAGCATCTCCAGCAGCTTTTCCCGGTTATAGACGGTGCCTATCTCCTGGCCCAGAACGCAGTCCAGCAGCTTGCTGACCGGGTAAGAAGCGGGGAAGGTCATCATCATGAAAAACTTGGTGAGGAAGATGGTGTTGGCTCCCACCGCCAGGCCGTGCCGGGAGCAGATGGCCTGGGGCACGATCTCCCCGAAGATGACGATGCCGATGGTGGAGACCACCACCGCCACGAGGCCTGAGCCGGCGATGTCGTCGAGCAGGATGGTGAGCGTGGTGTTGACCAGCACGTTGCCCAGCAGCAGCGAGCACAGCAGGTAGTTGCCCTGCCTGCGCACGGGCTCGATGCGCTTGGCGTAATTCTTCTCTTTCTCGGTGCCGCAGTTTTGCACGATGCGCAGCTCCATCGGGTCTAGGGCCATGAGTCCAAGGTTGAGGCCGCTGAACATGCCCGACAGGCACAGAAGCAGCGAAATGAAGATCACCTGCAGCCAGAAGGGCAACAGGAACTTCTTTTCCTCCCCCACGATCATCTTGGTGTCCTCGCCATCGTGATAAATCCAGGTGGTCTCGGCCCACGGGGGCGGCGGAAGCCCGGCCACCCCGGAGCCGCCCTTGCCCCCGACGGCGCCACCCGCGGACCCCGAGCCGCCGGCGCCTAGTGCTGGCGTGGAGAGCGACGTGCACAGGTAATAGGACTTGCTCTTCTCCATCTTGCGCAGCGGTTTGATCTCTATCTCAATGATGCCCGATGTACGGCGGTTGAGAATGATATGGGGCAAGATGATGATATCTGATGTGCGGATGCCGCAGCGCTGGGGGCCGCTGTCCGGCTCCGGCGGCGCGGGTCCCCCCAGCCCGCGCTCGCCGGGGCTGTGGCGCCGCCGCTCGTGCTCTGTGAAGGCAATGCGGGACCATGTCTCGTTGTTGATGTTCTGCCCGTACACCCGCAGCTTGACCCGGGTCCGCTCGCTCACCCGCAGCGCCCCCCCTTCCATGAACGACACGTCGTTCGTGTCCTCCAGCCGCAACCCGATGATCACCGTCTCTTCGTTCTCGCCCACCGCCGTGCAGCCGCCCGCGCCGCAGCAGCAGCTCAGCAGTAGCAATGGCAGCAGCCTGCCCGCCGCCGCCTGCAGGACCCCCCGGCCGCGGGCGCTGAAGCTGCGGCGCGCCGCCATCTTCCAAGAGGGCAGTGCGGCGGCTGCCTGCCCGCCCGCCATCTTTACTTCGGGTTCACAAGAGCCACAGCCAATCATAGGGTGGCTGCTCCAGCTGCGGCTTCATCCTTCTCAGCCGGCGGCGCGAGCGTAGGCACCGGCCCCCGGGGCGAGATTGCAACGCAGTGTTCAAACCCACTGCTCAGCAACCCGCCTCCCTGACTGACACTGACTCGGCCTGGGCCAGCACCGAGACCTCGAGGCTAGCGGGAGGGGGGAGGGGGTGGGGGGAGTGCCAGCGGCTGCAGCAGGAGTCAGGCCGACCAGCCAATCACTAGCAGGTGCCCGCCCTCCCAGCCAGGGGGCTGGAATGGGGGGCGTGGCCGTGAGCGGCGCCGCAAGCCAATGGCAAGATAAGTGGGTGGGGAGATGAGGGACGGCGTCCTCCTCTGCACTCCAAGTTTCCAACTGAAAGGCGCGTGACTCTTGTGTATGTGCGAGGGGAGGGGGTGTGGCCAGTCCCGGCTCAAGAGCCAGTCACAGATGAGAGCCGAACGAAAAGGGGCGGAGCCCCCCGTCCTGGCTGCCAATGCACAGGGGCCTTCTGCGAGTCTGACGTCCCGGAGGGGACTTGGTAGTACCCCTGTCCCTAGGTTGGCACGCTGGACTAATGTCCTGTGGCCCGAGGCGGCCGGTTCTCGCCGCGCCACGCTGCCGGCTCCCGCGTGCTCAGTGACCGTGCAGAAAGGGCTGCGCTTTCCTGACGCACGTTAGCCTAAAATGAAGCCGAGTCACCGGCTGCGCCCCTTTTCTTTACTCCTGCGCGCCTCTCCGCTCGGGATGAGCGGTGACCGGTGGGCCCCAACACCGCATCTACGCGCTCCGCTGGAGCCGCTCGCTTATCCCTAAGGGACAGACGGCCTCTGCAGCTCACGGTCAGGGCGCGCCACCTGCCGGTAGCATTGGCTCCCTACAATGCTTTCCAGGTACGCTGCAAACCCAAAAAGGTGCTCTGGCGGTGGGAGAGTTCCCCATCTTCCAAGTTATAAGAATCCCTTCACTTTCTTACTGAAAAAAATATATTCTCTGGCCCCATTCCATACTTACTGGATGGGTAGGACTCAGGAATCTATTCCTAGTAGGCACTCGGGAAAATCTGGGAAATGGGAGGGGGCGGACATCCTAAGCAGACCCATAAAGGCTCATTCTTACACACACTGATCAAACCCTGCTAGCTTCGTTGGTGGCTTAAGAGAAAAAAATTCTGAAGACCAAGGACTCCCAAGCCCACTCTGTATCTGGAAGAAACAGTTGCCAAATTGGTTTTTTTTCTTGCAACTTAAACATCCAAAAAATAATTATTTCCGTTTTTTCTATGCTACAAGCACATTTTCCTTTCTGTAAAATTTTTATTAATTTCTAATAGATATAACTGCAAGGGCCTCCTCACTGTTCTATCCTCTTCTACACCTGTCCCCTTCCCTTCTCAACCCACCAGCCAGAGCAGTAAAAGCCACTGGCAGCTATAGTATTGACAACAGTCTAAAAGACCTACTGTCGCCCCCCACCACCACCCCCGCCCTGCTTTCTTCTATAACCCTATCATCTGGTGCTCCAGCAGATTCTCCTGGTTATTCATTCTCTCTAGGGATGCTCCCTCGGGGAGCCTGTACATCTGCTGCTGTTGCCTGTGCCTGGGACTCTCTTCCCCCCAGGTGTCAGCACAGAACCCTAGACTACCTCCTTCAAGACTCTTTCAAGTCCATCTTTATAAACCAGTGACCAAACACTCCCTATTCTCCATCCTTACTGTATTTTCCTTAATTTGGTGTGTACCTGTCTCCTACTAGAACTTAAGCTTCCTAAGAGCAACAATTTTGTGTTTTATTCAGTGCTGTATCATCAGGGCCTAGAAGAATAGTAGATGCTCAAAACAGTACTTGTATTTTTAAAAATGAAAGGATTTTTATTCTGAGTGCTCCAAATAATGTCCCCAACTCTAGTTTCCGGTCCTTCAGTCTCTCTCTCTCTTTTTTAATAAAGTTGACTTCTCTCTTATATGGAAGGGGACTGAAGGTCTGCATTCAGAGCTGCTATGAAGGTGATTGCAGCCATGAGATTAAAAGACATTTACTCCTTGGAAGGAAAGTTGTGACCCACCTAGACAGCATAGTAAAAAGCAGAGACATTACTTTGCCAACAAAGGTCCATCTCATCAAGGCTATGGTTTTTCCAGTGGTCATGTATGGATGTGAGAGTTGGACTATAAAGAAAGCTGAGCACCGAAGAATTGATGCTTTTGAACTGTGGTGTTGAAGACTCTTGAGAGTCCCTTGGACTGCAAGGAGATCCAAACAGTCCATCCTAAAGGAGATCAGTCCTGAGTGTTCATTGGAAGGACTGATGCTGAAACACCAGTACTTTGGCCACATGATGCGAAGAGCTGACTCATTTGAAAAGACCCTGATTCTGGGAAAGATTGAGGGCAGGAGGAGAAGGGGACAACAGAGGATGAGATGGTTGCATGGCATCACCGACTCAATGGACATGAGTTTGGATGAACTCCGGGAGTTGGTGATGAACAGGGAAGCCTGGCGTGCTGCGGTTCGTGGGGTTGCAAAGAGTCAGACACGACTGAGCGACTGAACTGATACTGAACTGATGAAGGTTCCTTGTTCATCAGGTATTTTTGGTTCATTTTGGTGTTTTTTGTTGTTTTGGGGGGGTTAACTGTGTGGCATGTGGGCTCTTAGTTCCCTGACCAGAAATCGAACCCAGGCCTCCTGCAGTGGTAGCACAGTTTTAACCACTGGACCACCAGGAAAGTCCTTCCAACCCTTCAGTTTCTGACACTGCTTCCCACACCCACAATTCTCATACTGGTACATCTGAAAAACAAGTTTAGATTTTTTTTTTAAAGTCCTGATTTACAGACTTGGCATGCATTTACAAAAATAACATTATCAAAGTTTGGAAGAAATGTTGAGCTTTGGGGGAATATATGACAAAGGTTAAGGATAGATATGGTCTTCTAAATGAGCTGATTAAAAACACAACTGTTTTACCATCATTAAAAGTGTGAGCACAAGTCTGCTTAAGGGAGCTAAGAGGGAAGATGATTACAGGTTCTTAAATGCTGAAAGCATACTTTTGCAGTAAGAGTGCAGAGAAGAGGCTGAGGAGAGGCTCGCTAAACCTACAGACATCTCCTGTGCATTTCAGAGAAAACTAGAATAGTCAGGAAACTGTGGCATTCAGCAATTTAGAAGCAAGTTAGAAGTTCATAGCAAAATGTCAGAAAGCACCCTGCAAGACAATTTACAATATGAAACAAAGCAAGCTCAAATTTACACACAAGTTCAAAAATTCCCTGTGTGAATTTAACGTTCATCCTGGATGTGAATGCGGGGGACGCGGTGGGGTTGGGGGGGGGTCATATTCTCCATGAAGGAATTCCCTGGCAGTCCAGTGGTTCGGATTCTGCTGTGCTTTCACTGCTGAGGGCCCAGATTCAATCCTTGGTCAGGGAACTAGGATCCCACAGGAGGTGCTGTATGGCCAAAAAGCAAACAAACAAAAATACATTCTCCATGTACACCCAAGACACAGAGCAATCTAGACACCCAAGCCAAGTAATTTTTCCATAGCAAGTGGGATCCTGCTTCAAGTTTGGAGGCTTTTCAGCTGGCCTACCCTCTCTTTAGTGAGGGGCCTGCTAATACAAACTTGACCTTCAGGAGCTTCCCAGTCTGTCCATCTGGATGAATTGAGGGCAGGGGCAGCACTTACTTCTCAGGATCTTTTTTTAAAAATCTGGCAGAAAAAAATAAAACAAAACCCTGAATTCTGAACATGTTTCATCTCCATAAAGAGCTACAAAAGGGTCAAGACTGCTTACTGGTTGCTATGGATGTCTAATCCTAGGAAGGCTCTGACTCTGACCTTCCACACCTCCTTAGGTAAAGCAGAACCTCCTAACAGATACCTTCCCTAACTAACCCTCTCATGCCAGAATCCATCACTGGGTCCTCCAGGGGTAAGGTGCCTGTTCAGTTCTCTCATCTGCCAGGAATATGCTCCCCTGTCTGCAGGTTCAGAGATAGGAAGGCACTGTATCCAGACCTAGAAGTCTTTTCAAGTTTGATTTTAAAGATAGCAAGTAGAACACCAAATGGCTCTCTGTGCATTTGATTTCTCAACATAAAGCTCCAGTTTTATAGAGAAACTTTTTCCCCCAGAAAAATGCCTAGTTGTAGAAAAATATTCAAAATGACATTTTAATCTCACCGAAGCACTGGGTCTTTTGAGGAAAATTAGGAACTGGGTAATGCTGGTGTTGTCCAAACTTTCCCTGCAATCAAATCTGCTCCCCCTGAAGCAACGCTGTCCACTTGTTTAAAGATACAGAACTCTTTTAGCTCAAATGAGAACTCTTCACAACAGAGGACAAACAAAATAAAATCAGCAATGTAGTTTACCTTCTCTAGAGGGCTTTTCAGGCTTTTTGTTTCAGGCTTTCCTATTTCCCTCCTTTTCTAGATACTTTCTGGAGATAGTCACTGGGGTAAAAGAGAAGGGAAAACATGACTTCCTCCACTGAGAAGGACCCAAGCTCCTCAGGAGAGAATCCCTGCCAATGGTGGGTGGCCCCCTGCCACTTAAAATTCTGCTGCCTCCTCCCTCCCTCACTGCCCACCTCCTGGCCCTGCCCCCATGGTGCATTGGACAGCACCCCACCTACTACCCTTCTCCCTGGGAGCTTGCGCCTCCTAAACCTCCCGTGGTATCCTTCTTCTCCTCTAAATCCACTATTTGCCCTGCCCCCTGTCCTCCAGACTGCCAGGCCCTACAACTGTGGGACTTTCTAGAATCTTCTAGCATGTTCTTTCTGACTTTTGTATCACCTCGTTTCCAATCTCCAGCTTAGTCTTGGACAAAGTGGTAAGAGATGTTCTGTGCTCCACTATTCTTATCATTGTGACCAAAACATTCAACCCAGGTTGCAATTTTAGGTTTTAAAATGTTGCTCCCTGTGAATACTGCCCATTCAAAAATCTAAACATAAAAACCACACTTGGGGAGTGAGGAAGATGTGGGAGGTAAGGCAGACTCTGACAAGAGGAAGGTAACTAGAAATGAGACCACAGGACCACAGGAAAAAGAACAGATCCTGAGAGTCCAGTTCTGAGCCCTGGATCTGATACCCAAGCTCTAATCTTTGATTATGCCTCTAGACATAAAATGCTAGTTTTCCCATATCAACTGAGTTCATTCGTATGGTCTTTTTTCCAAATCATTTGAAGTTGCAGCAAAAACTCTACTCCAGTAATTAGTCAAATCTCCACATATAGACAAATAATTATGCCAGGCATCAGTGGGAAAAAATTCTGCTCCTATTTTTAGTTCCTCTGAGATACTTGTTTTATTTGAAACACCACTACACTGAAGATTTAACTTACTTTTTCCCATTTATTAATACCACATCTCAATTCTCTGCTTCCTCTTTAAACTTTAAGTGTATGTCTTATTTCTCACCGTTTCTTTTTTTCTCTTTGATTGATTTTTTTCCCTCATTCAACTCAGAGAGATTGCATTTCTAAATAAGCACTAGGCACTGGACCTAGAGGTTACCCCAAAAAACTTACTGGTAAGGACATCAGGAAACATGTACTAATTAACTACATAATGCAGGGTAGAACATAGAATGTCTTAAAAAGAAATACAAATAAAACGGAGGAACTGAGGGGAGCTTCACAGTCAGTCAAGGAAGTTCA